TAAAGTCAGATACCTAAATCAAGTAAGCTCTAGTTTATATAATGAACAAGTGAGTTGAAAATTTATAATAATAAGTTAGAAATCGAGAGTAATATAACCAAGCCTATCACAGAGATAATTGAAGTTTGACTCTAGAATTTTCTACAGCCATATTCACAAAATAAAAAACTGGAGAAAAAATATATACTCCTTTTTATAAAACTGACACGAATCTTGTGGCACAGGATATCACGATTCATTTTTAAGGTGGAATATCTACTTTATAGGTTCATCGAATGATATCACCTTGTGGCTTTCGAAATGACGTGCGAGCTACTGAGTGATTGAAGCATAAAAACAATGAATGAAATAAGACTGATTCTTTTCCCACCATCGTATTTTCTACAGAAGCATATTATTTTCTGAGCTATAGACAGTGCTATTAAAAATTTTACTGTTTATTAATACTGTTTTATTAGATAAACTTTTTGATACATTGGCTGCTTTTAACTGGATGAAAGCAGTCCGAATAGGCTTATGTGCTCAGTATTATGATCTACATTCACAAATAATCTGCAAAGAACAACAATTTTCTAATATTTAACACAACATTTGTGTAATATTAAGAATGTGTAGATAACTTTAAGATTATTAAGTCATTTTAAATCATCAAAATACACAAAATAAAAAAGAATTTCAATAATAAAATAGGCTGAAATAGAGATAACGTAGTTTATTATGAGCATTGATTTGGATCGCTTATTCTATTCTTAACCAAAACTAATATACATTTCGAATGAAAGTCCATAAAGAAGAGATTCGTTATTCGATCTCACAAGATAAGGACGGATGAAACTCGTTGTACTGCAGCCGTTTAGCTTTTAACGATATTCATGTTGACGCAGTCCACGAGACTTCCTCCCTCGTTTCGGCTGAAAACGTGCTGAGGGTGTTGAACGACATTCAAAAAGAAGGCGACTCAATTTGTCTGCTCAGTGATGGTTTTTATTTTACGCACATTCGCCAAAAATGTTAGATTAAGCTCTTTAAACAAACCAGAGATGTCAGATTACGCAAACCCAGTCTTGGCTTTCCTTGGAGGGTTAAGCGTGAATGACCCTTACGGAAGTGGTTAGGACAAATGGTTTCGTAACTTGATTATCATGCATACAAACTTATATTCCATTATATTAACCATACTAATCTACGGACCTAAGCAGTTTTAGTCAAAGATTTTCTCTTGTATTATTACGTCTTAAGGATCAGAACAGGAGATTCAACCTTTGACAAGTCTGATTTAGGAACCGTAATGCATATAGACCTTAACACACACAAATATACATACTCATACAATCAAGAAAAATAACAGAACTAGTATGAAAGAAAATTAACCAGACCAATCTATATCTATATATCTAGGTTTTAAATTTTTAATCTTTTGACTCGATTGAGTCCATATAAGAAGTAAGATAGAGCCGGGTTGTGTTCTTTCTTTAGTGTTAATGTTAGACTTTTAAAAGAATGACACCCAGCTCTGATGATGCCCATCAAATGATGGACGAAAGCTCAGCACGTTTTCATCCGAAACGAGGGAGAAAATCTCGTGGACTGCGTCAAAATGAATATCGTATAAAAGCAAAACGGCTGCAGTACAAGGAGTTTGATCCGTCCTCATCTGGTGAGATCGACCAACGAATCTCTTCTTTATGCACTTTTGCTCGAAACGAAAGTCCTCCTAACAATGTTATCTCAGGAGATTAATCGAAACCAATTTTCTCTTCGTATCTATAATATACATGCAGCATATATGCAACCTCGCTCCATGGCAAGCCTTAATGTTGCGGATATTCTTTTATATCCTTATTGCCTTTACTACATTTTGTTAATAATATCGCTTTTAACCTCACTTCGGAACAAAGCTGAACAGCTGGTGACAAGTACGATAGTAGCCACCCCTGTTAATCACTTTAATCGCTTGCAAAGTCTCCTAAACTATATAATTTCGTTCACTATAATTATGTAAATGAATACAGATTCATACTTTCGAGTATACTCAAAGTCTTTCTACTGTTCCGAGGAATACTGCGCCAAACTTGGTAATTGCGGCTTTAAATTAAAATCCTTAAGATTCCAGTCTATGTTCTTTTAGCGAAGTCTTCTTGAATATGATAGCAATTTGAGATAATTAAGTCATACACCTCCACAAATAGTAATGTGACTCAGTTCACCTTAAATCTGAACTGAGTCGATTTTTTATTAAAAATCGATTGGCACAGATTAAGATTTATCTTAGTAACGCGTACCTCAGAGAACTGATAGAAAACAATAGAGGGGTCATAAAAAGCAGATTTAAACTAAAGATTTATTAAAATAAGATCAGCAATCGAGAGGACTACCAAGATACAATGGAATAGCAATTTGGTAGCAAAATGAAAGACAACACTCTTTACAAGCCTACCAACACAACACGAGAAGGTTGACAAACCGGATTGCTTTGGAGTTTATAGTATCAAATGCGGCAACCGTGAGCAGAAGTACATTGATGGAACAGGAAGAAAAATCAGCCTACAAATCAAGTAACACCAAAGACTTGGCATAAACGTGTACACTTAAAAATCAGAAATAGTGGAACACGTCGCACGAACGGGACACGAAATCGAGTGAAAATTGACAGAAAGACTGGCTGCATATAAGGGAAATAAAATCAAATGCAAGATACGATAAGCCATTGATATCTTGACTGAAAGCAATCTAATGGACAGGAAACATGAATAAGGCGGGATTAGTGAAATCTTTGCATACCACCTAAACAAGCTCGGAGAATATCAAGTAACAGCAATATCAGCAAAAAGAAAACGACTGGACAAATGTCTACAGTGAGCTCATTCAAATAAAGTTTAACCATCATATTTATGTTGTCGGCATGCAATTGAATGCCATAGACTTGGCATTAGGGATAGAAATGAAAAAGAAACGATGGTGGCCATTTCTACTTGGCTATTAGTAGATAAGTTTGCTCATAGACGTGGTAAATGAAGTGAAGGCTTGAAGACGAGATTTACTCGGTGCAGCACAGAGATAGAGAAATCTACAGCATCAACTTAGGTTGTCATGCCAATTGAGAATCCAGACATTAGGAACTTGGTTAGTAATGCTGGTGTATACGTGCTATCAAAGGCTTGAGGCAGGCTATAGAACAACGCCTGCATAACGAAATGAGTCCGCGATCATAAAAAAGGCGACACCATCATGGTCTTTTTAATATCGAATAAGCTTTATTAAGTGGTTGTGATGAAACTGACAATTAATTAGTATCACGACATAACAAATTACATTAAAAAAGATGCTTTTAACTAAGTCTTCGTGATCGAAAGCAGACTGCAACCCTCCCATCTTGATATTCATATACCAATTAGAGTTAATTTGTATCATTTTATCAGGCAAAAAAAACAAAAAACAAATTTTTTTTAAAGCAAATTAACATTTGTATACTTTTGTGGCTGCATTAACCGGGTTACTTTAACTCAGCCACTACTCTTATATTAGAGCGTGGCTGATTCAATTGCTCATCCAGTTAGGTCTCTTATCTCTTAATAGGCTATCCCTTATGGCCTTCCCGCACACTTGTTTTCACTAGGTATTGAATTCACTTTTATGCTTTTAATATTAGTGTAAAATGCACGTAAATAATGATGAAAAAAAAATCCGGCTTTCTGAGCTTAACGAATTCATAACATGTAATATTTGCAAAGGTTATTTGATCGATGCAGTAACTATCACAGAATGCCTTCACTCATGTAATTATCTACTTGTATTTATGCTATCACAGTTTGCAAATCCTGCCTCGTAAAACATCTTGAAGAGAAATTTGATTGCCCCGTTTGTGGTGTCCTGATACATCATAGCCACCCTCTAAATTATGTCAGGTTCGTTTTATTAATTATTATATTTCCTTAGTTTTGACCGTACCTTGCAAGACATTGTGTATAAAGTTGTTCCCTATCTTCGTGAACAAGAGAAGAGTGCTCGTGAAGCCTTTTACCAAAGAATAGGAAAAACCCCACCTCCTTCTGAGGGTAATTTTTATCCCATAAATTCTCTAAAGTCATATTTATATTGTTCTTTTTATTCTTGTCTGGATTTATCATTTATTTTCTAAATCGGATGTCTTGGCATTTTTTGTTCATCTAAGGATGCATGTGTTTGCATCCTTAGAAAAAACATTTAAATA